CGGAGCTTCCTCCCGGCAGGTCGTATGTTGCATCTCCGAAACTCGCTAAGCACGACCAGATCACTCCTCCGGCAGGGACCGAGCACCTCACTTCCGCTGTCGCCGACGATGGCCTATCCTCTACGGCGGCCAGGATATTAGGCTGCGGGCCTACTCCGGCAACCACCTCGACCATTTTCGAGCCCACCGGTCGGCCGCCAAGGAGCAACTCCGCCCAAGGGACAAGCTCGATCATCCCCCCGTCCCAACCGGAGAATCAGGGCCCCCGCCCTAACGGAGCACGATCCTTTCGTGATGCGGTTTCCGGCACACCCCCCGTTATACCGGGCCCTCAGAGATTGATGTTGGAGTCCTTCCGGGACAAACAGAGCGGAACTGTCACCCGCTCCGAGTAGGGCAGGTTCAAGGTAAGTTTCCCTGAGCCCACTGTTATTTCCTTAGCTGAGCCGTTGGATAATGCACTCATTTTGAAGTTTTCCTTCTCTATCCCTTCCCTCCGGGATTTATCTGTTGGTCTGGACAAATTAGGGTTTAAGGGTAGAGTGACTCCTAAGTTTCTTAACTATAATCATTATTTACTCTTTTTTGAGCTGAGAGAGGACTACAACTCGATTTGGATTAAGACGAATCTCAATATTTTTGGCTGCTCTGGTCGGGTGTTTAAATACACCCCGGATTTCTCCTTTGTTGAGGAATCCCCCATAATCCCGGTGTGGTGTTGCTTTCCGGGCATTTTACCACACCTTTTCGACCCTTCAGCCCTCTTTTCGATTGCTAGTTGCATTGGCAACCCTATTGAGACTGATGCCGCTACGGCAAATCGCTCGAGACTATCTGTCGCACGGGTGTGCGTAGAGGTCGATCTTAGAGACGAGCTCATCAAGGAGATTGAGCTCGACCAAGTGGGCAAGACCACTATCCATAAAGTGGTCTACGAGAGAGTACCACCGTTCTGCTCCCTATGCAGTCATGTAGGACATGGTGCTGCAGAATGCTACACCAAGGGCAATCAGCCCCGACCTGCTCTACCCCCCCGTCGACGTGTAGCGAGGCAGGGTTCTACTACAGCCCCGAGGAGCCCTAAGGGAAAGGGCAAGGCTCCGGCCCACGGTCCCGTCCCGAAGGGGCAAAAGGGCAAGGACAAGGTCACCTTTGAGGGCACTCTGCCCAAGGAGGTTAACCTCGATAGGCCTAAGGCCAAAGCTACAGACCTTTTCCCCCACCAGTCCCTCCAGTC